AAAAGCTTTAAATAAAACACAGAATCTCACATGTGATATTTATTTGAATATATATCCTTTGAATTATGGAACTATGGAATTTATGGGAGTTAAATATAGTCGGTCGAAAATCAGTTTGCATTCAGCAATTGATTATGTACAAGTACAGATACACTTGTATTCTCCCTTTAAATATATTCAGTTGAAGAATTTTAAAATCGACCCTCGCACAAATTTAAGTAAAGCCAGGCCTGTGGTCAGGCTCAACTTTAGACATACGGCCGGGCGGAATGCCAGGTAGCCCGTCTTTTTAGCCTCGGCTGGATCGCACGTTAAGCGGATAAGTTTGTGTCTGCGTGTTAGCTGCTTTTGTTAAATAATGAATGAACGAATGACCAACTGATGGCATGAATGCATGAATGAGTGAATGAAGCATAGCCAAACACGCGTCTGGCGCCCCAAAGTGCAAGCGCCGAGAGCCAAAGACGAAACAGGGGCAAGTTTAACATGAATTATTATGTGCGGAAAAGTTTCATGAAGCCGGGCCAGTTTGGATGCCAGGGGGCTTGGATAGAGGAGGGCGTACACAAACACACACACACACAAACAAACACACACACAAACACACAGTCTGTAGCCGTTCCGGCTGGTCTGCCAACTGGGCTTGGACTCTGCGACTGGAACTGCCACTGGGACGTTTCTTTCTTCTCTTTTTTTGTTTTCTTGTATCTGTTACATACAATTTGTTTTAATTGCGCAAAGTAGTTGGCAACACTATTAGTGTAGCCAATTAATTTTCATTTAACAAGCAGCCCGCAGGATTCACGTCTCTCCTTGTTGCTGCCCTTTGTTTTAGCACAGTTCCCGCGATTGTTGTTGTTGTTGCTGTTGCTGTTGTCGTGTGCGCTTTGTTGAGACATTTAAAACACTTGCATCTTCGCGCTGCTGACGTCACATTTATCAATAATTAAACGGCTTTAGTTTTCCTGATTATAAACGTGAATGCAGCTCATTTTTTAGAAAAAATGAAACTGAAAAACTTTTAAAGTATTTGGGTATTTAAAAGTTTTATGCGATCGAATGGAAATTAAACTTCCGCCAAATGCGACCTTTGACCTCCATTTTATTTAAAGACGATTACAGTTGGATCCTCGCATTGTGATTAGTAGTTAATCATGCTGTTATCAGTCAGGTAACAGTCAATCAGTCGGTCAGTTAGTCAATAAGCCATTTAAGCCCTTATCCAGTCAACTAGGGAACAGAATCAATCCATCTATAAGTACATTACTTTGTCAGTCTGGTAAGAGTCAATCGGTCAGTCAAACACTTTAACTGTCAGGTATAAACCAGGCAATCAGTTAATCAATCCCTTTCTCAATCATTCAGGCAACAGTCAATTAATTTATCCATCAGTCTGTCAGCCCATCTAGCTCAGCTAACATTTAATTAGTCAATGAATTAGTCACTGTCAATCATAACAGATATCACCGCGGTAACAGTCTGTTAATACGTCAATCAACCGCTCTGTCTGTCGGTCAATAAGACAATCAATCCGTCAGTCAATCAGTCAGTCCGTTAGCACTCAATCAGTCAGTAAATCACTTTTTCATTCAGTGGGTAACATTCAATCAATCAGTGTCAATCAAGTCAGGCTGTCACTCAATCTATAATCCAGTCAGTCAATCCTTCTGTCAGTCAATCAGGTAACAATTAATTATTCAATAAATCAGTCAGTCATTCGCTATTTGTCGGTCAGGTAACAGTCAATCAGTTAATCAATCTATTAGGTAATATTCAATCAATCAATTAACCAGTCAGTTACTCTATCGGTCAGTCAGCTAACTAACTCAACCAATCAATCAGTCTATGCCCTTTTTGTTTCAGAAAATGTTTGACATTGTTTGGCCTATGAACTACATTTTTATAAAATTCTTCAATATGAATTAAAGCTGTTTAAAATTTAAGTTTGTTTCCAGTTCAAATATTTAACAACTAAGAGTACTCTAGCCGAAAATGCACGACATGAGGAGATAACTTTTACCCAGTTTTCATATGATAGACGAACATAAGGCTCTTCATGCTGATTAAGAATGTATATGCTTAAACGAGTTTGAAGATCAATATGCCCTCTCTTTATCCAGTTTTTATGCATAGGGCTTAAAACAAAATTAAACATACGCCTCGTAATGTTGGCAACGCGAGTGATGTAAATAATATTTTGCTGCTGGGATTTTTATTTGCCACCCAGCGACGGGGCGACGCGCGGTTTTAAACAATTTTTAATTAATTTGCGCAAGGACAATGCAGCGTGACAGCAGCTGCTTGGCATTAAACTCACGTAAGTGGGCTTAAGGCGTGGCATTGGCAAGCAAATGAAGGCGTAAAATTAAAATTGTTGCGAATTTCTGCAGCGGCAGGCTACAACAACTTTAGTTAATCAAATGACATGCAACACGCGCACACACACACACTCGCACACATTGCTATGCTGGGCGTGGCTGCCACACACACACACACATAAATCACAGCATTCGCATTCCCCACCTACTCTCCAATCTACTTAATTGCTTAAACAAAATGCTGCGCACTATTGAGCAATTATGCAGTCAACGCCCTACCCGACCGGGCCCTTTGCAGCCCTGAGGCCCCATACAAAAGTATGCAAAACTTGATGCCAGAAATTAACAGTCCGCCAAAATGTCTTAATATATTCAACGATTTGGCGTTCGTCGTCAGCTTTTTGGCTCCCGTTCCCTTTTCATATAATTTATGCGCGTTTTAATTTCATTTGGTGCCTAACAAATGCCACGCCCATTCGCTTGTCAAAATGTGCGCGCCCCAAAACGAAATATGTTATTTTAACACCTTCAAAGTTGCGCCCCCCAGACACAACACTAAGCCCCACCGCAGGGCCACTCCCACTCTGCCTCACCCATAAAAAGGGTCGCAAGTGCTCCAGGACCGGCAATCAATACGGTAACAGATTGTTTCACCCTTGGGTCGAAAGATGTTAAATGATTTTTATCGAGGTTTATGTAATTTGTATACTACTTGGGAAATGTCGGCAACGATTAATTTGTTGGATCTTAGTCTATATAACGCAAGTTCTTCAACTATTTAATATATCACCATTCAAATATTCTTCAGAACTTAAAAAGCTAACAATAGTTTTTAAATATTGTTAGATATATATATATATATGCATATATATAAATATTTAGATGATATATTTATATTATATTTATTTACATGTATATATATATTATAAAATATTTGTTAAGTAATCGTCGTCAATGTTTGTCTCGGAATAATGTGGGCTTATTTTCGATATATTTTGCAAATATGCCGAATAGTTTGGAATATTAATTATATGACGATCATACAAAACGTTGTGGTTAATATAGGAGCTATAAATCTTTCAAAGATCATTATCTTTGAGAACTAAGGTAAGTAACTATGTAAAATGTACAATTGGATTTTAAAAGTAGTAAGAGTAGGCGAAGAGCAGAAAAAAGCTAGGCAATGCCGGATAATACATACTATGAAAATAATTCAATACAATTGAGGTTTACTTAGATCTTCGATGGCGCGCCCACTGTACAGATTTAAAAAAAAAAACATTTTTAAATATTGCCCTTCTATGAGATTCACATGATTTAATAAATAGATTTTAATAACCCTTGTGTTTGTGAAAAGCTTTTAGTAAGAAACGAAAGAGCAAACACAAATGCATAAACAGAATTCGTGCAAAGTAGTTGGCAACTTTTACAAAATATTTTAATTGCATATATGAATGACAACTAACAATTATAATAAATACTATTTTTGTATTTTGTTTTATTTTCAACTTATGCAAGAAATATTTCATATAGTTCCAAATATATGCTAAAAATGTATCACATGTGGTCGAAGATGCGAATTTCTGCAAGTTTCATACATTTACCCAAAAAACATATATGACTTCTTTTGGGAACAGTGCTTCGAAACAGAAGAAATGTGTTAAGCTTAATCTAAACTTAATTAAGTAAGTCTCTTAAATATCACATTAAGAATACACTAAATAACAATCATCCACATTAAAGAAATCACAATTTTATTTTGTGAGAGCATAAAAAGTGTGTTTAGCGGCTTCTGCAAACAATTCCGGGTTCTCATTTGTTATGCAACATTTCAATCACTGTACGGCCATCTTTTCACTGTACTTAGGCGGAAGATCCGAGGGATTGGACTGCTTCGATGCCTGCCAATTGTTAGTCGTTTGTCCTGGTGGCGCATAGGCTGGTGGTGGGTCCACCACTTGCTGTGGCATAGCCCCATAATGGGTATTGCTAGGCACCACAGCTGGTGCCACTCGCATCGAGGTCTTGCCAGAGTTTACTGTAACCACACCAGTGTTGGGCACCAGCACGACGTTGCCATTCACCATGAGTCTGCAGCGCCGACAGGGACCCCAGAGCAAGCCGAGTGTCGTTCCGATCAGTCCACGGCGATGACAGCACTCGTAATGTTGCACAATTTGGATCTGCTGAACTTGAGCCATGTTTTTATGGGAAGTATTTCTTGTTCGTTGTTCGATTCGTAACTGAATGTGAACTACGCCTCAAGTGTCGCATTTATAGAAATATGTGTTCGTTATCAGCTATAATAATCCTACATGTCGGTTAACAATAGATATTCGCAGTGATTCATTTCCAAGCACTGATAAGGCATAGTTCAGAATTTCTAATTACACTCGTTAGAGATTTTCAATTTTAGGATTAATAGTCGCAGATATATTCCTACAAGTTTTTATAAATATGTTACTCATTTAAGTATATTTAAATACCTAAAATATTTTAATATAATATATATATTTATATATTTATAATTATTTTATTACTATTTCAATAATTAAATATATTTTATTTTTGGGATCTTAAAAGAAATTAATTCAATTGAACATACATATGTATTGCTTAATTGATTATATTATAAATACTGTATACTTGTATACTTAAATAAAAACTTAAAAGAACTCTAGATATTTATATCTCAACCGAAAGGAATCTATATTTTATTTCTTTCGCTGCAAAAACCTTGCATATAAGAAACTTCCAAGTAAGTTGTAATTTTCAAGACAGGCTTTTCAGTTGGTGGCCACCATTTCGCTATACTTGGGCGGAAGAGCGGAGGGAACCTCCTCCTGCGAAGCCTGCCAATCGATGGCCGTTTGTGTTGGTGTCACAACGTCCATTTGCTGTGGTGCCCCAGCCACTTGTGGCACATTTACAGTTCGGGTGGTTGTGGACACAACAACAGGTGACACGCACGTTCTGTCCATGCCGCCATTTACTGTTACTGCAGCCGCACCAGAAGTGGGCACCACAACCACATTGCGATCCATCATGCGCTGGCAGCGACGGCAGGGCCGACCCCAGGCCCAGGGACGCAGCACATAGAGGAGTCCACGACGATGATTGCATTCGCAGCTTATGTTCACCTGTTGCACCACGGCCATGTTTTGCTGTAGCATGTCTGGTTTGTCGTCTGATATCTAACTGATTTTTAGCTACGACGCGATTGTTGCATTTATAGTCTGAAATTAGTAACTATCGTTATCGTAAGCTCTCAGGTATGTTATCGATAGCTTGATATTTACAGTGATTCATGCGCATTCAACGATAAGGCGTCGCGTGTTAATAAATGTTTCACAGGGCGCCGAAGGCAGTATCTATAAGCTCTGGGACAGCGATTGGCTTGAGAATTAAAGTCTCACGCTTTGCTCTACGGTCAGTTGCACTTGTAGAGGGAGAGAGAATTAGACTAAATGACATATTTCGAGCTCACGGCGAACGTGAACTCTAACTTATGGGAGGCCTGAAAGGACTTTAATTAATTTAAAAACTTAACATTTCACTGATACTTGACAAGAAGTCTTAGAATTACTAAACTAAAATCAGAACTTCCGAAGCATGAGTTCTGTTTATCCAGAATCAAGATAAACAAAGAAAAATTTATTTATTTTTTGTGCCTCAGTTAGCATAAAATTAGGTTTTAAATTCACGTTTCAATTAGTTGCTTTATTACAAATTTATTTTAATTCTATTTTCTTTATGGAAATCGATCACTTTGAGAAACTTTAATAGATTGTTTCATTAAATCATCAATTTGATCATCAAATATATTAATTTTATTTCATATATATCCTACAACTCTTAAGTGGAAAGGATGATTCAATAAGTGTGATGCAAGCTTATGAATGTGTCGGAGTTAAAAATATATTTCCATTTAAAAACAAAACTGCACATATTTTCTTAATATGAATGACAGATCGAGTATCCATGGCCATATCTGTGCGTCCGTCTTTCAACAATGACAAACATTCGAAAATTTACTACAATCAAATATTCACCACATTCTTAATATAGTAGCCGCATTCTAAATTTCTTAAGGTATTTTTAGAGGTCGTAGCGAATATAACTAATATATATTTCTGAATTATAAAAAGTTTTCAGTTCCAATGGAAAACAGTTAAAAGTTCAAAATTTGTGATAGATGCTCTGATTTGAATTTAGGCATACAAAAGCTTAACATCAATTCAACGTTTGAAATATCTTAAAATATAAAAAAAAATTAGACGTGCACAAGATTTTCAGTTTGCATTTGAAAAGGTTATTGCTTTATTTTTATTTGAATTACACTCTTAGATCTCTTCATTTCCGCATCAATAGCCCGGCTTTGCTTTAGCTGACGACTACAGTTTCGCTGTATGTCGGAGGCAGAGTTGCGGGATACGATGTCTGCTGCGTCAGGACAACCTGTTGTTGTTGCACTGGCACCGTCTGGGTGGTGGTTGTGGACACCACAACTGGCGATCTGCGTGTCGAGGTCATGGCGGGGGTCACTGTAACGGCAGCAGCACCAGAAGTGGGCACCACAACCACATTGCGATCCATCATGCGCTGGCAGCGACGGCAGGGACGACCCCAGGCCCAGGGGCGCAGAACATGGAGGGGTCCATGGCGATGATGGCACTCGCATTGAATGTTGACCTGTTGAATCTCGGCCATCTCGTTGGATTGTTGTATTCCTTGTTTGTCGTTCGTTTCGTTACTGAATGTCAGCCTCGATGCGAGTGTTGCATTTATAACGCAAAATCTATTCTACTCGCCGTTATCAGTTTGTTGTAATCCTTCAGGTATCTTATCGATGAATTGCCTTAATGATGGATTCATTCTTGCTGTGATTCATGCATAAGGCGTAGACGCGCCCAACAATGCTTGACGGGAGTCAAGTTATGGGCATTGCCTCCACGCGAGTGACTCATGTGCATCTTAAGCCATGCCCTAGATTAGTATTCCCTGCTTAGATTCATATTGAGTCATTTGGTTTAAACCAACTACTTTTCACTGAGTGTTTATTCGATGACATTTCAATTATTTAAAGATTTATCCTTATCTTTGCTGTTATGCAAGGTTATAGTTTTGAGTTATTGACAAAATGTTTACAATATGGTCTTGGAGGTCGGCAGTAGCCTTTTGCTTACCTACAAATTTTCTATTGCCTGAATCTAGTTACCTTTGTCTCAGTCTTTTCGGGGCTAAACAATAGGCATATTCAGATAGACTCTCAAATTATAATAACACACATTCGGAAGGTCTTTCGCTATGCTATCGGTTTGTTGCACTTATTAATAATATGAATCCCTAAACTTTAACTTCTAATTCCAACAGAATACCGAAATAAACAGCTCAGCTACGGCAGATGGAGAACCGAATCTCAACTTAAATCGAGGGTCGCACACTTCGGGTATATATTTAAAAGACAAGAAAGCTACCAATAATCGCCATAATATCTTTATATTTCTTTACTAGAAAGAAACGAAAATGCTCAAGCTCGGAACCGAAGGAATAAACAAGAGACCACTTGGGTTGATGCTGGTGGCCGTGGTTCCAAGATAGGGAAAGTCAAGTTGGTACCACGCGGTCGACCAAACTGGATGCGTGATCCATTTGGTCGAACGCAAATAATTCAAAATCTAATCATCATGGTCCCCATCGGCATTTTACTGGCGGATCGCATCCTAGAATTTATATTTGCTAAGTAATCGTCGTCAATGATCGGTCTCGGGTTTATTTTCAAAATGTGCCGAAAAGTTTGGTAAATAAATTATTCGACGGTTGTACGAAACTTTGCGTTTGATATCCGATCGACTATAAATCTTTTAAAGATCATCATAATTGACAACTAAGTCAAGTAACTATGTAAAATGTACAATTGGATTTGTACAATTGGATTTGTCCAATTGGAACTGAGCAATGCAAAACAAGTTAGGTAAACGTAGTTTTTCGATGACTCGCCCACTGTTAATTAAACAACAACATTTTAAATACTGCCCCTCTATGTGATTCTCATGAATTCAAGTAATAATACCTTCTAGCTTTTACGCTTTGGAGTACATCGATTTTAATGTCCCTTGTGTTTGTAAAAAGCTTTTAGTCAGAAACGAAAGAGCAAACACAAATGCAAAAACAGAACTCGCGCAAAGTAGTTGGCAACTATTACAAAAGATTTTAATTTCATATACAAATGACAAATAACAAATAAATATTTACATTTTTTTTGTCTTTTTAGACCACTCGATAATAAAATTTCAATTAAAAATAAATACTATTTTTGGTTTGTTTTATTTTTAACTTATTCAAGGAGCTTTTCAAATGGTTTTCCAATTAATTGCCACGCCCAGTTGTTACCACATGGGCCGCTGCTGCTCCACAATGACAACTTCCTCGCGGGGTGGACGACGTCCGCCAATGTTGAACTCGATTAGTGGTCGACTGGGTCGCATCACATCCACCTCGACAATGGGGCGTGGTGGTGGCGGTGGCTGGTAGACACCCGCTGGTGTGATCACCTCTACCATTTCCGGTTGGTAGGAGGGATAGCGCGAGCCGACATCAATCTCAACAACGGGCCTCGGAAAACGTGGTGGCACAATATCCACCTCCACAATGGGACGTCCACCATTATGGTGGTGGTGGTGATGGCGGCGCTCGTCCTCGTAGTATGACATGGTTCCTTATTAATGTATATTCCTTTTACTATTTTTTTGGTATGGAAGCAGTTGACTCTGCTTTCGCTGGGCGTTAACTGAATTTCTTTCGCAACTGGTTAACATATTTAAGCGTACAGCTTTCAGACATTTTGACCAGGTCGGTACTTTTTTTATTTTGTGTTGTTGGGGGCTTAGTTCACTATCTTGTCAGGTGGTTTTAGGTGTCTTCGATAAACATTGATAAACAACTTCCAGTGTGGGCGGACATGGAGGCCAGAGGGGCATAACAAGCAAAATGTGTTGTTAAATTTTGGAATTTTACGCGAATTGCAACAGGCGCGGTAACAAAGATATATGAATCATAGCATTTAATAAAAGTTCCCTGAGTAAATCAATGAATTTTCCGGAAATTAATTAAGTCAACTAGCAGTTAAGTTTGGCTTACAGCAACTATATGTATTTTTTCTATTTTCTTCGCGTGAAAAGCCTTTAACTGATTATCAATGTTATTGATTTCATTTTGCTGGTTGGTTTTGATGTCATCGATTAGAATTCAAGAAATAACTTCCAATGTAAATAAATTCCAGGATAGACACACACAAAACCATTGTCAACAATTTGTTAATTGTTAAATTAAATGGCGACGTAGAATACAATAAGTGCAAAATATGATAAGATATTCTTATGCTATTGCCAAAATAAATTTTACTTATTATGGTCAAAAGATAAAGAATTGCTTCCGAAAGTTATAAAAAAAAGGTGTGTATCTGTCATCGTGAAATTGAATGCAAACTTTTGATTTTAAAAACTGCAGTGTTTTAAAGGAAAAGACATGGAATTAAAATTTTGCGAATACATACATACTAAATCAGGTTGCATCTAGCCCTTATAATTTTCGAGTTATGCTTTAAAAAAAAGAGCATGTATTAAAAGCGATATATATCGATATACTGCGAATGGGAAGAGATTTCGAAGAAAATTAAAAGCTCTTTTAATACAGGAAAATATTGAAAGGTATAGAAAAGATTTAAAGCCAAGGGGAACTTTTGGTTAAATAAAATAACTTCTTCGTCAAATATTACATTACGTTATCTAGGACACAGCCTAAATAAAATATATGATTGAGATGCATTTTGGAAATGTGAATCGCGCGCTTGGAATTCTCAAACGGTTTAAGCATGGGGTTAATTTATAGTTGTCTTATTCCTCTACTTATAACTGGCTCGTTTTATGCTTGGAGCCAAATCGATTGACTGTAAACCGGAATTTCCACATTCATCAGCATCGATTTTGGTTCGTAATATGGTTTTACTTCTTTGAAATTTGTGATATTTGCAAAAGCATTTATTGGCATTAAATTTGTTTTAAGTAACTTTAGTTCGTTATATTTTAATATTTTGCTATTTTTTTTTTGACAAAGTCCAGTTCATAGCAAAAAATGTCAAGTTGCAGGTCTTGTTTACATTTAACGGGCATGCTTTATAATTGCCACTTATAAATTAATTTATTTTTGCGATGAACACAAACATTTAACATATTTCATAATAATTCAAGGTTTTACACTCGATTGCGTGGGGCGCGTTGTCTACCATTGTGGATAGGGTGGAGTGTTGTACTGCTGATATTGATACTGATAGCCCTGTTGCTGCTGATAGTAGCCCGCTCCGCCCTGGGACATGCCAGTGTATGGCTGAGGCATCATCGCTTGGCCACCAGGCAGGGGCATATAGTTGGTCGCTGGGCTGACTATGACGACTTCGGGCCTAGCAGCCGGCGGCGGATAATATGAGCCACCCCAGCCGGGGAAAACATCAATCTCGATATCTGCACAAAAGTATAAAGATATAAACATTATTATTGTTGGCCATCTACAGATTGATATGCGTTCATCAAATCTCCTGTGTACATCTCCATTGCTTACTTGGGCGATGATGGTGATGATGATGACTATAGCGACATGGATCTTCATAGTATGGCCGCATGGCTCTTGCAATTGCTTGTGCTGTATGGAGCACAGCAGTTTCTCTACTAAGCCTTATCGTTGCCAAACCACTTTTTTGTTCAGTTCGGTTCTAGTTGTAGCTGACTTCCAGTGCAGTTGGCCATCAATCAGGGCAGAGCTTATTGGCATTTTCATTCCAGTGTTCAGATAAGCGGGCCCAAAGCACACAGCTTGTTAGTCATCTCGACTGGGCAGCAATCGACTGATAATAAACAGGCGCAAACTGCGGGGGTTGTACCCCAAATTCAACTACATAAATGGGCGAAATGTTGTAGCTCCATATTATTATTGTTTTTATTCACAAAATGACTTGCATTTAGTTTTTTTTTTAGATAAAACGTGAAATTTCAGCTTGTGAACTAGTTCGAAAATTCTTGTAGGTGATTCCTTATTATATAACCAAGATGACTAGCATTAAGATTCCTTTAAATCAAATGTGAATTTCCAGATCTACGAACTAGTTCAACAATGATTGAAAGTGATTCATAATGATATTTCCAATATCTCCATAGCATTAAGTTTCCTTTAAATCAAACGCTTGTTTCTTGATTTTTGAACTAGTTCAACAATTCTTCAAAGTGATTCATTGTTATATCTAGTCAGGGCGCAGCTCTAGTGGTCTGGAGTTTACTATACATATGTATGACACCGATATCAGTCGAAATATATAAAAATAATTTATGTACACTGTAGTTGGAGTCGTGTGGTTCCGGATTGTAAGAGTAGATTTAATATAACACGGGTGGAAAATATGAGGACAATTTATGTTTTCAGCTTGAACAAACCGGGTAAAGCCGGGTAATAGCCACTAGCACGTTTATACATAAAATATATATAAGATTTGGTTCGGTATTGAAACCTTCAACTTAAGTAAGCTCCACATTTGACTTGCACGAAAAATACTAACGTTCAGTACTTTTTCAGTATTTATTCAACTTAAATAAATTCTAGAAAACTTTTGAAATTTATATATTTTCCCTAGTTAAAGCGTACTTGAAGTGAAGTCATTTTGACTGGGACTCGTCTTAGCAATACTTTTGGAAATCACTTCCCAGAAGTTTTAGTATATACGGTTCTCGCGGGCCAACCCTCGTTATTAATAATGGCTGGCTATGCCGGGCAATATTTTGACTTATAGTTTATGTTTATGTGCGATGAATGCCTCAATAATCAATACATAATCCAAAGCCACAGCTGGCATAGAGCTTATCGCCTATAGACGCCATTGATAGCGGGCTTATCGCATAGATAAGAAAAGTTCGATAAGCGCTAGCCAAAGTAAATTGAACACAAATTTGATAAGTTATAATACATATATATAATTTTTTTTCCAGTTGTTCAGGTGTTCAGGTGATTTCTTGTGTGATAATAAAGCTTGTCTACATGTCTACGAAATATTTGTGCTGAGCAAATTCATGGAACGAAGAACGCTTCCTCCGCCTCCTTCTAGTAGCGGGGAGGTGGATTGTGATAGTGTCCATCTGATGGCGGCTGCTGGTAATAGGGCGGCGGCGGCTGCTGCTGTACAACAACAACGGGTGCTGGCCGCGGTGGTGGTGGCGCCTGCTGTACAACCACAACGGGCGCCGGACGCGGCGGCGGCGGCGGCGCCTGCACAACGACAACATTGTTGTGATGATGGCGCCGGGGCCAACGTGGTGCAATCTGCACATTGATAATGGGTCCACGACGTGGTGGTCCACCGCAACGATCAGCTGGTGCCATTTTTGGGGTCTATGTGATATTTGACGGTGAAAACTTTGTTAACTCTTTGGGGACACGTCCAAACGCGTTCGCTTATCGTTCTTAACTGAACCGAAAGCTAATTAAGAGCCACGACAAAATGCGTATAATGGCAATGTTTCGATTCGTATTGCACAAAAAAGCTTGATATGTACATATGTGTTTATTACTCATACGCAGTGTGTTCTGCACTGCCAAAAAATTAAGGAGAGGCAGAGAGAGAGAGCGAGGGAGAGAGAGGGAGAGAGTGCTTGATTACACATAGCTATATATATGAACTTTCCTTGCAGGTATTCTTATCTGTACCATCCATTTTTTTATTAATTATTTTTATCAGTTGCAATATTTTGTTTTAGATATGTATAACGAAAAGTTCTGTTCCCCTTGAGCTTTTGCAATGTTCTGCTCTGAGTCCTGTGAGTCAGAGGCGTTTGAGCTTCCCTTCGTTTTAACTAAATTATTAATTAATGAATCATTTGCAGGCATTGCATGGATTTAATCTAGCTAATGTTTATTTCATAATGTGCTTAAATAATGAAGATTTTATATTTAAAAGAAAATCAGACAGTTCTACGACTTGATCTGGTACATGTTGATATTCAAGGCTGTCCATATAAATGTCTATGAAGTGCAATTATATTGAGTTAAAGGAAATTAATCTAAATGTAGTCTTCGATCATGGCCGAAAGATTGTATAGCCTTTAACAAGATACCTAAAAAAATATAATAAAATTCCTCATATTTATTGACGCATATATTTTTCTATTTAAAGTCCACACATTTTTTTAAATTAGAATAATATTTGTCCTAATCAAAATAAACAAACTCAGTTAGCAATAACTTCAAATATCTCTCTTAATAGTAATAAAGTATGCGCAATTGATTATTTTAACCATAATCAATATTGATTATTTTTATCGCAATCTGTTTTTACCCCTCCTCTATTTACACTCCCCCTTCAGCAGCTGTTTGCTTTATCTCAATAATATTTGAAACACTCTCAACTATTAACACATTACTCTTTGGGATTGCTCTTGACGATTTGACGCGTTGCATGAATATTCCAAATATTTGCAAATCAATTAAGCTTTGCAACAAGAACAGCCACAAGGTGCAACGAGGAGGGGGAGAGGGTAGGCTTTTGACTTTAAGTAAATTAAATTTGCACTTGCACAGGCAAAAGACAAGTAGTTTGCAATATCGAGAGTTTGTTAATTACACAATATAAATACAAACTTATATATACTACTATTTCAATACCCTTACTAAGGGTATTACACTTTCTAATATATTTAAATAGATCTTTTTGGTCGGTATTAACAGGCAAGTTTATAAAGATGGGACTTTTTGTCGGTCGAAAATAAAGTTCTGGTATAAAAAACTGTGCCGGTGTCACAAGCTCGGCATTTAGTTTACACCAAAAATATGGATAAAATCTATCTGATCAATATCGGTTCACTATATCACCCAAGCTGTACACAATTTGCTTTTGTTTTCCAATATATCCAAGATATCATGAATTAAACGAAAAGCGAGTATTTGTCATAAAAACAGTTCCAAATAAGGGTATTTAACTATTCGGCGAGTTGAGCGTAGCTTTTTTTTTGTATTATATATATGTTGATTATATTGTTAACACGAGCATTTTGAATGCATTGAGTTATTTTTTGGCCTTTGCTAATTGAGTTGTTGTTTCAGTTTGTTGGCTGTCAAGTGTGCGGTATACAGGGTATGGCATGCATAAGGGGGAGGTACTTGGGGGGGCTTTTGCATTTGCTTAAATTCGCAGCACTTGAGTGTCACTTTGATCAAAGGCTCGGGGTGCAGGGGCGGAGGTTGTGCATTGAGGGTGTGGAGGTGTATGTTACAAGCACTTCGACTTGGGCCTGACAGGCAAAAGTTAAACATGCACAAAGCGAGCGACTTGGCAAAGTTTTTAACTGGCTGGAAAGTAGGAAATGAATGCGAGTTGGAGGCTTATGCGGCATAACTCGTACATATTGCAAAATGTGTTAAGGATGGGGCTGGCTGCTACATATCAGCATGATAAGCAGCAGGAGGCGGGGCTGTGGGCGGATGGGCAGCACGGGAGGCAGGCAGCTTGACAGCGCGTAGCCAATGTAATGATGCCGCTTGGCTTCGCACAGCTCCATGTCGCAACTCCAGCCCCCCCTCCCTGTCCCGGGCCACCCCTTCTATGCCAGTGTTTGGCTTTTTTCGCATGCATATTTTAGGAAATGAATTGCAAGCCTGGCAAGATAAAGCGCCAGCGTCTCAGAATCGTGTGGAGCAGCGAATCGATAACTGTCAAAAAATAAGCCGGCGAGCAACACGCAAGACAGCCACCCAGCAGGGGATGTCGGTCGGAGAGAGGGGAGAGAGTAAGGGGACTCAGAAGTCGCGAGGCGGCACACAATTTAAATATTTATGGAGCTGCGCAAGAGGCGCCACAGCACACGGCATAACCAAAAAACCGTAACCGTAAACCCAACCGAAAACCGAGTAACTAGCAGTAGCAGTAGCAGCAGCGGCAGCAGCAGCAGCAGCAGTAACAACGTTTGGCAGCCAGTGGGGGAAGGCAGCGGGGGAAGGCAGCGTCAGCGGCAGGGGCAGCATTGGCAGCGCCAGAAAACGCATTTCCTGCACATGTCATGACATGAAGGCGTCGACTAAAATGCAACGCCAAAAGGCGAGCTACACAGAAGAAGAGGAGTTTGCTGGATTGCCAAAGGTACGTAGTAGGAGGGGGCGGGGGAAGTGGGGTGTGGGATGCGGCGGTGTAACGCTTGAGAGAAACCGCAGCGACTACAAGAGCTGCGTTTGAGTTTTTTATTTTTGGATTATTTTATAAAAAAATTGTTGGGTAACATTTTAAAAAGCAGTTCCACAGTTTGATGGCATTTATAAATTATTGAAGCCTGTCAAAATGTAAAAGTTTGGGCACCACTGGCAAAATATATAAATTAAAGTTCAACCCAAATTGGGTATCTGACAGTTATGATGACATATTGATTGCAACATAAAAGTCTACGCCTATCCGGTGATAGAGTGAAACAAATAACAATACAACCGACTGCGTAATACCCTGTTTACAGTAATAGAACAACTGTGACACTCAAACTGTGACTGTGCAGCTGTAAACTAAAAAAATTAGAAAAAAGGCATTGGTATATATATGAGAAGCATAGTGAATCTACCAAATGCCGAATGTGGTTAAGATATCTTGATAAAGAAAAAACTTTTTCCCACAATAACTTAATTTTCGACTGATAGTTCCTAAGGCAGCTATATGATAGACGGATCGGACGGTTTCAGGACGATAGCCTCATAAATGAGTAACAAGTTCGCATAGGAACAGATAGACGGACAGACAGACAGAGGTACAAACAGAGAGTGGGACATGGCTATATCAACTCGGCTGTTGATCTAGAATATATATCTTCTTCTATGCGTTGCACATAACATGACCAAACAATAATACCCTCTACAAGGGTATAAAAAGAAATAAATAAATTGTGACACTTTATCAAATTTGAATGGTAAATAAACCTAAGAGGCATTTGGTCCTTGACTGGGGTCAGTAAAAACTTGCTTGGAATGGAAGCTAAAAGTGAAGTTAAAAGAATTAAAAATATTCTTAATGAGTAGCTATGTCATGAAATTACGCACCTTGGAGTAAAATATATGGATTAAATGGCATATTACAGGAAATTCGCTACTTCCTACTTCTACTCCCCTCCCGCCCACAACACCAACGTGTGTATTTCTTACAATTGCCTTCTTCTGCAGATTTTTTCATAATTGGTTTTCAGTTATTTCGACAAACACACGAGTTGAGCGCAATTTAATAAAAGCAATTCACGCACGCATGTCCAGGCGAAACTTTTGTCCTGTTTGTCCGGGCTAATGAAGCAGGAATTCGCCGTGGAGTGTGGGCTGATTTGCGGGTGGGCATGGCCAGCGGCAAAGCAATGTCAAAACGTCAGCAAATATTTTGTAGCCATGTTGTGTAACAGGGCTCAAAACGTCCCACGCCCCCACATGCAGCCAAGTGTAAAAGTGGCCCAAGGACTCGCACCCTCCACGCCTCTGTCAACCGAACCCCCATCCACAGCACAGGCTGGGCGGTTGGGCAGCGTCCACTCGAGTGTGCAATTAGGTGAAAATAAATGGTTTAACAAACGCCTCGAAGTATGCAATCATTTAAATTTCACTTCATTTGTCCTTTTCATGATTTCAGCGCGCGCAACTGCGCTCCCCCCACAGCTCACAGCTCACAGCTTACAGTCCACACACCACCCACCTCCGTCGGCCCCTAGTTCCGCATTCCTAGACACCAAATTACAGAACCAAACAAAATTATTTTGATTTATATGCAAGGCAAGGACCTTCGTTGATCCTGGCCGGCCGCACCTGCTGACAGCGTCGTCGTCTTCTTGTTTTCCTTACGCTTTTCTTTTTTACTTTACTTTTATTTCATTTCGCTTGTCGCCGCCTGTCAATAGATTTGGCCCAACTAAATGCTTTGATTCGCCCTGGACACGCCCCCCGTACCACTCAGCAACCGACCCATGCGTCCGCCCTTTTGGCTGTCAAGAAAACGCGCCGAAAACGAATTTGAAATGCAAATTTAATTTGAGACGCGACGTTGGCTTTTACCGCCCAGGCCCAGGCCGATGTCTTGAGTCCGGGCTCCTCACATTAATTGCCCACATTCCTGTAGCCTACATTCGAATCCTTGGTGGTGTCCTGGCGCGCGTTTTGCCTGTTAATTTTGCGCCAAATCAGCAACAACTTTGGGTTTTCCATTCGGATTTTCCATTTCGATTTGTGCCGTGTGCATAAAATTTTACGCTGACTACCAAAAACTAACTGAAGTTAAGCCGAGCGCGCGTTCTGGGAGCGTGCGGGCTGGGGTTGGCAAAGGGGGAATACAATGCTGAGTGTTTTCTGGCCTGATTGAAATGTTGGCATCTATTGCGAAAACTACTCGCAAGTTTATTGGCAAATTGATGAAGTGCTCGCTGCATGTGTGCGCCGCCCGCCAAAGGCTGAAAACAATTTCTAGTCGAGT